CCCTTTTATTATAGTACTTACCCAATGACTAGCTATTATTTCTGCACAGTAGTTCAATAAAGTGCTAGCATTTAGTTCCTCTGCAGTCTGATAGAAACAAATGCAGTTCCTGACGTTTACTAGTGACATGACTCCTTTTTCACACCTGCCAGAATGAAGAAATGGAGTGTGGATTAATTATCAAGAAAGATTTTCCTGAAGAGTCAGATTCCTATTTCCAAAAGGAAGTGATCAGTTATAGGAACATGTGGAGGCCAACCAATGTCAGGTCTAATAGCTGTATAAACAAGAATGTATAGTATTACAGAAATGGCTTTGTATTTAAAATCTAAAAACTGACAAACAGTCTCCTATAATAGTGTTTTTCACACCAAAACTCTGACGAGAGCAGTGTATTAAAGAGTTCCCTCCAAAGTAAAAGATGACACCCTAATCTTCCCTCTGAAGTAGACTGAAACACACTGTAAGGACAATAGTTGCAGTCTTGTGTCACCAAGTTACTTTGACACCCCTTGGGGCTGGTCCAGCTTTCATGCTGAAGAATGAACACTGTAAAGAGGTACTATAATGCTATATTTCTGAGGAAGACAGGAAAGTGAAGACTCACCTTCACATTCTGTGTGTGTACAAGAACATTCATTTTCGAAAATCCTACAAACTCATACAATACAGCATGTTGTGCAAGCCAAGGAGATTGAAAGGAGCTTTCACACAGTCAAGAGTTCTGCTTATTTTAGACCCACCACTGATGCCTAGCCACATACTTGGGTGGTTATGCCATTGCCTCTCATCAATTCCTGGAAGCTCACCTAATGAAATGGACAAGTATGGTAGAATACACTGCAAAGTACCTGCATTTCTGCTAAGGTGAGAATAAGTCACTAGATTGTAACCATTAGTATATGGGATTTATTTTAGTGCTATGAAAAAAGAAAACCCAATCACAATAAAGCTTTACAAGCCAAAACCTTAGACATTGCATTAGGCACAAAGAAAAAAAGTACCAAGATGAGGCTAAGTGCTAGATTTCAGGCACTCCTCAGTAACAAAGCTAAAGGCCATGAAGATCACTAGGTAAAAAACAGCACTTTGTAAACTGACAGGAACAAATTTCCCTTCCTCGTATGGATTGAGACAGTGATCTGATTCCGGAAAGTGGTGTCACTAATCCAACTGCCCTACTTAATGCTGCCAAGGCCTGCTAGCAAGTGAAAAAAGGAAGAAATGGAGAGGCCATTTGAGCAATAACTGACAGCTGCCCAGAATAAGAGGATGCTTTAATTACTGACCTTTTGGATCATTTCATGAAGATCTAGTCCTCTTTACACAATTTCCAAGTGGATGAGGAACAAGATTAATCTGTCGTCATTTTGCCCTGCCTCCCTCCTACTCTCAAGCCCCAAACTGGTCAGTTAGCAATATTACTTTGTTTTGAAAATCTGAAGATATGTATAATTAAGATAAAAAGTTGGCATTTAAATTGGCTAGTATGTTCAAGACATTGCTGCTATTGATAATGTTGCATTTCCATTTCACTCAGTCACTGAACACCAAGCAAAAAATAAAATGCTAACAGTCAATCTTAATTCAAACAATTAAAAAGCCTTTTATTGACATTACTATAACAGATTATTTCCTTTGATGTGGGAAACCAGTTTCCTTTCCTAGAAAAATCCTCCAAAAATGTACCTCACGTTTTCAAGCCATGTCACATTAGGGTCAGGGATTTATGGGTTGTTTGATTTAGGGGGATATACAGGCACCCCAAGTTAAACAAAAAACACAAACTTACATCTGCACGTACAAAGAAAAGCTCACCAGCAGCCTGAGGCTAGGATGTCCTTTATGGGGCCCTGTACAGTACTATTAAACTGGTGCCCCTATGTCCAGAGGCGGTCTTGGGGGCAAGAGAGAAGGAAGAATGACAATTTTTAGAGATGTGATTTTATTGCTTTAAAATGGTCAACTAAGGCCCTGTAGACTAACAATTCACTCAAACTGCCAGTATATGCCCAAGATTGGCACATACCTGTTAAATGGGTTCATCACTACTTGAATGGCTCTTTCAGATTCAGTGTCTGCTAATAGGCTGCCAACCCCTGTGCTAGACCTATGACTTGAGAGCCAAATAATGAGAAGTGTAAGGTTATGCATTTAGGGATTAGTAACAAGAATTTTAGTTATAAACTGGGGACACATCAGTTGGAAGTAACGGAGGAGAAGAAGGACCTTGGAGTCCCGGTTGATTAGAGGAGGACTATGAGCCGCCATTGTGATATGGCCGTGAAAAAGGCTAATACGGTCTTGGGATTTATTAGGCGAGGTATTTCCAGTAGGGATAAGGAGGTGTTAGTGCCATTATACAAGGCATTGGTGAGACCCCATTTGGAATACTGTGTGCAGTTCTGGTCTCCCATGTTTAAGAAGGATGAATTCAAACTGGAACAGGTACAAAGAAGGGCCACTAGGATGATCCGAGGAATGGAAAACCTGTCTTATGAAAGGAGACTCAAGGAGCTTGGCTTGTTTACTTTAACCAAAAGAAGGCTGAGGGGGGACATGATTGCACTTTTTAGATATATTAGAGGGATAAATACCAGGGAGGGAGAGGAATTATTTAAGTTTAATACCAATGTGGACACAAGAACAAATGGATATAAGTTGGCTAGTAGGAAGTTTAGACTTGAGATTAGATGAAGGTTTCTAACCATTAGAGGAGTGAGGTTCTGGAACGGCCTTCCAAGGGAAGTAGTGGGGGCAAAAGATCTATCTGGTTTCAAGATTAAACTAGATGGGTTTATGAAGGGGATGGTTTGATGAGATAACATGATCTTGGTAACTAATTGACCATTCATTATCAGTGGGAAATAGGTCAATGGAGGGATGATAGGAATTACTATAGAGAACTTTCTGGGTGTCTGGATGGTGAGTCTTGCCCACATGCTCAGGGTTTAGCTGATCGCCATATTTGGGGTCGGGAAGGAATTTTCCTCCAGGATAGATTGGCAGAGACCCTGGAGGTTTTTTGCCTTCCTCTGTAGCATGGGGTACAGATCACAGCTGGAGGATTCTCTGCATCTTGTGGTCTTCAAAGTATTTGAAGGCTTCAATATCTGAGATAGGGGAGAGGATTATTCTAGGAGGAGTGGGTGAGATTCTGTGGCATGTACTGTGCAGGGGTCAGAGTAGATGATCATAGTGGTCCCTTCTGACCTTGAAGTCTATGAGGTCTCAGTAGGGAGCCAGATCTGGCTCTTTTGGAGCTCCAGTTAAACTTCCTAGGTCCCTCTGCAGCAGGAAGCCAGCACTGACTCTCTGCTTACAGCTCCCCACAACATTGGCATGCCAATGCCATCTTCCTCCTGTGGGAGGGTGGGGAAAAAGCCTCAAGCCTCCCCACTGGATCTAGCTGGGGGGACAGCCTCGCAGGGCCACTTCCTGGAGGCTTCCCCTTTGCTCCCATTGGCCAGAATCCAGCAAATGGGAGCAGTGGGAGGCAGCGTTACACAATGCCTGTGACATGAAAACAAGTCCCCACCCCCCTATCTCCAACTCAGACCTCACACCCTGAGCCCCTCATACCCCCACATCCCCAGACTCCTCCCATAATACTCCTGCACTCCCACACCTCTCAACCTTGAGCCAAGTTCATCATATACTCAAACCTCTGCTTGAGCCCCTCATACCCCAACCCAGACTCCTGAACCCACACATCCCCAGCCCCCTACCATAAGATTGTCAGAAGACAGCCAGAATGTGTGCATGAAGCTGTATTTGACCATTATGTCAACTTCGAAGGAATGGGTGAAGAGATACAGCAGAAGTCCCATTAAATAAAGTCTGTGAATACAAGGTTTCATTGATGCTATATTATTGTCAATCAATATTAAATTGTATTTTTTCAGTCATGCAAATGGGCATTCTTATACTGCTCTTTGTTGACCACTTGTTCTGAATTGTGATCTAGTTTGGCTCTTTAGTTCGAAAATGTTGCTGATGCCTGGTCTAGCAAGCTTTTAGCTAGTAGGCTAATTAGAGCCTCTCTGGAGGAAACAGAGCCACAGAACAGGAATAGGAAGAGGTAGGTGGATGCACATTAAGACCCACTGGTGTCCCAAATTTTTGGCTACCCATAAACAATACACAGCTGCATAGGGCAAGGATGGCCCTGGCATCAGGGAGCAGGCAAGAGGCACAGGTGGTGGCAGTGGCAAGCAGGAGAGATGCTAGCCAGAGGACTCCAGAGGGTAGTCGCACAGCCAGCAGCTAGAGTAGCAGCGCTTTGAAGGGGAAGCCACTGCAACTGCATGCTCCCTCCTCTGGTGTCCTCCAGCCACACTCCCCTCCCTTGGAGGTGGAGAATGGCATGAGCATGGGCTGGGGGGGATGTCCAGATGTACCCTTTAGAATCTCCACCTACCTCCTTATCCTCTTCTAATTAAACCTGCCTTTCCTCAAGCACCAGCATTTAAGGTTAACTAAAAAACTATTTCCATTATTTTCCCATTGCAAATATACAGTATCACAGCTACATTGATTCAATAGGCTTTTGTGGGCTAGCCTGGGACCGCAAATACTATTTATAACATTGGAAAAAATGCATTCCATAGAAACAACTTACAAACTTTTAGAACATAACCCATTCCTAAGTGGGGGCTTCCCATACAGGATTCAGAAAGTAAACTACTCAAGAAGTGGCCTCTGTAAGAGTTAAAGGCTAAAGCTTGATTTTTTTCTGCTTATGACCAGCTGAAATTGTTTAATTAAATTTAAAAAAGTGTATTAACATACCTCTTCCATCTTAACTCAGACCCATTAGTTAATATCTCCTACCAATAGGCTGCAATAGTTATTTTAGCACAAATGGCAGATTTCCAAGAGCCAGGCTAATTAAAGCCAAGCCCACAACATTCTAGAGGCTTGACTATATCCACTTCAATTTACCTTTCCCTGAGGAGTTGCAGTTGAAACCGATTGGCTAATTTCATCAGTTCTGTCAAAAATACATCATCTTCTCTCAGTTCTAGCTCATCTGTATATATCCAGCGCAGCATTGCCATGGTTACCTCAGGGTCAGCATCTGGTGAAAAAAAAAGTGACAAGGCAAAAAAATCCAGCGACTTAAGTCTCAAATATGTGCCTTTGAATTGAAAAGTTTTTTGGTTGATAAAGTTACAGCTTTGTAAAAACAGAATTGATGACAGACAGGCCTCTCATCTCCAACTAAGCAGAGAAAAGACAGGTCTATAGTTAGATAGGAGACCAAAGAAAACCCATGGTGCTATGTGGCACACTTTCTTCCCTGTCACTACTGATCCAAATTCCCAGTGTTGTGACACTGCTGGAAGTTGATCACACTGCACATGAGAACTAATGTTTCTTTAAGAGTGTTATTAGCCTTGATTACCTTAGTCAAATTCCAACAAGGATAACTACTTCGTCAACGTAGGGCTCCCCAAACACGCTTTTGCTGTTTGACTTATACAAGTTACTTGCTTTCCTACAGCGTTGCTGCATGCTATTTAATAGCTGCTGAATCCCACCCAAAGGTGGCTGCAACTGTTCTTATCTAGTTTGCTGTCACTGTTTGGGATCCTACCACAGGCAGGATGCTAGAGAAAGGCAAAATACCGTAAATTATATTATTCTGTTTGAGGTTATAACATTTGATTTCTTAATTCTGAAGGACTCCTAAATTCCAGCATATGAAATCCATAGCCACAAGAAGCAGAGGTATCAATTCTTGTCACAGTGCAAATCACTAGCTATTTTAAAAGGCTACAATACACAGCTTTCAACCTAGATTTAAACTTGCTCCTGTTAAGACATTAATACTCCTCATCAAGCTGCTGTCTATACCTGTAACATGCACGCTCCAATTACAAGGGCAATGAAATAAAGATCCCATTTAGTAGAATAACCTGATTAACATACGTAAGTTGTTAGTCGACAGAATTTTTATCGACTACTTGAATGGGGAAGGGAGCCTGTTTTCCCCCCCCCCCAGCTTCTACTGTGTTTTAAACTGCAGAATTGAAGTGGGGTTTGGTCCTGGACCCAGCACGAGCCAGGACTAAGCTGGGCTGCCTGTCCAGCCAGCAGCAGTCCCTGTCTGCTTGGGGGAGAAGAGGATCACAAGTCCCTGCTGGAACCCCCCCAAGACAGGAGCTGCTTTGCAGCAGCAGCCCCTGTCCACAGGGCAGATTCCAACTCCCCACTGGCACGCCCCGCAGACAGAGGCTGATGCTGAAGCAGCTTCCCCAGCCCTCTCGTGCTGCTACCTGTAATAGAGACAGCAGCTGGGAGGGGGGGCCAGGGCAAGCAGCAGTGCAGACAGTGATGGGGGCCCCCCCCCCCCCAGCTCCTGCTTCCACCCCTTGCTGCCTCCAATACAGAGGCAACAAAAGGGGTATGTGGAATGCGAGTAGTAGACTCAACTACTCGATAACCCTAGACTTATCAGGTAGTTGACTACTATTACATCCCTAATACCATTAAACAACTTTCCATCAGCTCAGTGGCTTTTTAAAAATACAGTTACTAACTTTTCTTATGTTGCACAAACAAGTTTTGTTCGACAGGGTATGTGAAAATCTTAACTGTATGGAAGTTAAGAATTTTAAATCTGATACTACTTTGGTTTTCAGGGTGTATTTACAGGTCATGCACTAGCATTCTTCCAGATGCCACCTGGTACACCATTCCCCAAGCAAACAGTACTCTATGCCAGCATAGCAAGGTAAATGCCTTAAGCGGGAAAGGCTAAGCTACTTTTAAATATTTAGTAGCTGAAGACAAGGTGAATGAGTTAATATCCTCTTGTGGACTGCCTTCTGTTGGGGAGAATGACTAGCTTTTAACTCACTTTGTGTCTCGCATCCTGGAACCAACACAGCAAGCTAAAGAGCAAGTTTTAATATAGCTCTTTAGTTCATACACTGCCATTTAGCATCTTTTCTAAAAGAGGGAAATCTAAACTATGTTTAAACAACATGAAAATAGTGAGGTTTTACAGATATTTACTATGTGGACTATGGAACTGTACTATTTAGTGACGCACAGGAGACTTATGAAATTGAACCTATAGGCTCAAACAGAATTGGAGAATAATTCTGAAGACTGTTAAGACTACTTCAATTCATACGGTCACATCAATTCATACACGCCCAGCCTTCTGTTAAGTTTCATTTCTCTACAGTCAAACAAGATACAAATGGTATGATGACTCAACTAAAAAGTTGCTTGATCAATATTCATTTTCCAGATATGTAAAGCAAACAGAGGCAGAAGCAAGTTTAAGGACCTAACTTGCCAGTGTTCAATTTTTTATGTGATTCTAGATCACATAAGCACATGAAAAGAAAAGCCAGCTATCTCCAGGATAATGCTCAGAAATGTTATCGTGAGTGGCAGTTTATGATTATACCCTTCTTACCAGTATTAGAGAAAGGGGTGCTTCTTGTAGAGAAACTCACAAGCAGTTTGTGTTCAACATTAGATGTAGTTTCTGCAGCATGGGTAAGCTATTTGTCTATTCCAGAAGTATCCCTAAATGTTAAGCACTAGGACCACTAAAAACCAGTATATGGCTTCATCTTACAAGTAAAAGCAAGGTAAGGGTGTGCTTGTGCCAGGAAAATGGGATATGCCCCAAACAGTATTGCTTCTCATAAAACCACACAGGAAAGAACCAAGAGGTAGGCGAAAGGGGCTGGCTGAGAGGGTGTTCCCATTCTTCCCCCCCCCACCCCAAATCCAGCACTGCCCCTGCTCAAGGCCTCCCAACCCCCCTCCTCAGGCACTCTTTAGGGAGTACAGGGACAAAACTCCTCTTCCATTTTTATGGGAATAGCAAGCAGTGTCCCTCTTTGTCCAGGAAAAGTACAGTTTGCTGCATTTCTCCTTCTGGCTGGGGAGTGATGAACCTTGACCTGCCCCAGCTGTGCCCTCTGGAGTGGTAGTGGCCATGAAGCTGTGCTTCTCTCCTAGCCCCAAGCTGCTGTGATCACAAAGGGGTGGGGTTGTCCTCAGGGCAATCTGTATACTGAATCTCTAATTGCCAGCCCCACCCTAGAGCAATGGATTTAAAATAAACAAAATAAAAATTGAGTTAAGGGCCTAAGCAATGCTGGGTTAGTCTTCTAATAGGTCTCTAAAGACGATGTGCCAGGGCATGTTTCCTCAGAGATTCCAAGCCGTCTAGCTTAGTAGAAAACTCCTTTGCTTTAAGGACTGATCTGGCTCTTTCAGACAGATTTATTTTTCCACTACATTTACATTTTCTATCAAGGAAACAAGTGTGGTGGTTCACTTATCTTCCACATCATTAAAATGCAGAGATGGTGGGTTATTGATCCAACTAGTATTAACATTAAATTTGCAAGCTTGTTAGTATATTGGAGACAACCTATTCCATTAATTATAAAGCAAGCACTGTGTACTCAGTAATATTCTCAATGATAGGATGAAACCTTTTCCCAGGGGACCTTTTTATTAGTTGTTCAAGAGACATACAAAGCATTACACACTGACAAACAGTAACTAACCTGACAGATCCAGCTCCTCAGTTGACACTAAGCTGGCTAGACTCCAAGTCTCACTGCGGGCTGCCAACACAAATTTGTGAGCATTGATGCGCTTGTCCCCAACCTTTATCTTCAGATCGCTGATGGAAGGAAAAAAGCCCAGATGTCTATACAGAAACGTAACCCGTGCTGAAGTACTTACGGACTTCAGATCTGTAAATATCTACAACGTACATTTAAACAGCTAAATTTCAGCTGAGTTATTTACTATTCAGTAGAAGTCTTTCATTAACATAGCAATTAAATGCCAAATGGTAGGTTTGTTCTTTTAACTGGTTAAGTGAGGTATTTTCAAGAGATACTACTGTTAGTACCATGAGGAAAATGCAAGCTAAGCTCTGTAATTAATATTCATTTTAAATAATCCTGTAATCTGTTCATATAGCACAGACCAAAAATGATGGATGAGATGGGGAGTGGGGAGACTGAAGATTCAGCCCAGAAAATACTAAGTTGCCATCAGCTACACAAGCTTTTAGAAAACACTAAGAGGACTATAAACAAAGAACATTGGCAGAGCAGTCAACCTGCATGAAAGCAAAACCCCAGAAATACCCCATTTCCAGGAGAGCTGCTGCCAGTCCATTAATCCCATGCTAATTTTTAGTCAGATCATTCTTTTATTCAGAAAAATTACATTACACTGATCATTTTCTCCATTTAACATTATATAGCTAAGTTGTTAGGTTCTTGAACACACTGGATTGTTTCTCATCCATTTGTTCTTCACCACTACACCCTTGCATCCCAAACTTACCAAAGCCTTACTTGGGAATTTAAATGCTTAGACTCAAAGAAAAATTATTTTGGGAACACGAGTTGCACCACTCTCCTAGACGGCTAGAATATCAGGTTTAGAATCAGATTTCTTGCACACTACAAGATGAAAGCGTCTTTTCTGTTCCTATCCCTGTAGGACAGTGGTCACCAATCAGTAGATCCCAATCTACTGGTAGATCTTGGAGCCTTTGACAGGTGATCCTGACAGGTTTGGCCAGAAGGCTGTCAGATGCAGGCACTTCATCTGCCTTTCTAAGCACTGTCATGTTGCTCCTACCCTCTGCCTTGGGCCTTCTCTCCCAGCCCTAGGAGCCTCTTGCTTGCTGTGCAGGGCACAGGAAGAAGAGGAGGGGGCACTGATGTCAGGTGTCCCTCCCTCCACCCAACCACCACAGAACAGAGGGGGGCAGGGATGGAGAGTTTGCTGGCTGCTTTTGGGAGTGGTGCAGGGCCAGAGTAGAGGTAAGCCTGCCTTAGTCCCCTGCACCACCATCCAGAAGCCACCTGTGGTAAGTGGTCCCCAGCTGGAACCTTCACTCCAAACCCTGGTTCCAGTGCTGAACTCTTCCTACACCCCAAACCACTGCCCTGCTGGGGCTCTTGTACATGTCAAAGGAGGAATGTGGAACTCTGCATGCAGCCTGGGGCCAGCAGGAAGTCCCGCTGATTCTGGGCTGCTCTCCATGTGCCAGCTTTGAAACGAACAAGAGTTCCCAGTGGGGGGCTCTCGTACATTTGAAAGTGATAGCACAGCATGGAGCCCAGGTCAGCAGGGGATTCAGAGTCCCCTGCTGACCCTGGGCTCCATTCTGCGCTACCCATTTGAAATGCCACATGGAGCTGGCATCAGCTGGGGATGATGAGGCGGCATTTCAAAGGGGCAGTGCTGCACAGCTGAGCCAGGGATCAGCTGTGCAGCGCTGCTGCTTTGAAGTACCCCTTCTCTCCCCCATCTTTGCTGCCTCGGATAGAGGAAGCAAGGGGCGGGGGGAGGGGAGGGGAAGTTGACTAGTCGACTATCTGATCAGCATTTGCTTATTGGATAGTCGTCTAGTCCTTAACATCCTTAGTTTGGGTTTGAGGTGGATCCTGAATTGCATTTAAATTCAAAAAATGATCTCATTTTTAAAAAGGTTGGAGACCACGGCTATAGGAGAACAGGAAGCTACAGACTTACTCAGATTAATAGACTTACTCAGATTAATAGACTATGCCTTTTTACAATGTATTAGCAGATGTTACCAATCCTGGTTGTTCCTGTTCAGAAGGACTTGAGCTTTTACACGTGTTCTTGCAGTGATTAGTTCTAAAATATGTATTGTCGTTAAATAAGTAACAGAGAAACATCCATGTTCCCTCAGTTTTAGACATGGACTAATCATTCCCTGAAAGTCAGTTTCCATATGAAATAATGACAGTTACAAAAGTGAATGGTTCCAAGCTAAAAAATGGAGGGAAGGCATCAAACATATCCTCCATGCTAGCTTGTATTTTCAATAAACTTCAGAAATAGCACAAAACTCCTGCTCTCCACTATGTTTGCTATTTGTAGTAGCAACAAGTGATCTTTCTGAGACACCCATGTCTCAGGTAAGAGCCTGTCTAGATAGTGCCAGTAAAGCACTCTAGAGGGATGTGATCTGTAAGGGTGTGTCTAGACTACATGCCTCTGTCACCAGAGGCATGTAGATTAGGCTACCCGGCATAGGGAAATGAAGCGGCAATTTAAATAATCGCTGCTTCATTTAAATTTAAATGGCTGCCGCACTGTGCCGATCAGCTGTTTGGACGCTCCGCGGTCGATATCAAAGGCATTTGTCGACCTCCCTGGTATGCCTCGTGGGATGAGACTTACTGGGGAGGTTGACAAATGCTGTTGATGTTGACCACAGAGCGTCCAGACTAGCACGCTGAGCCAACAAACAGCTGATCGGCAGATCGGGGCAGTCTGGACGCGACGCGCCGACAAAGAAGCCTTTCTTCATCGGCACAGGTAAGCCTCGTGAAACCAGGTTTACCTGTGCCGATGAAGAAAGGCTTCTTTGTCGGCGCGTCGCGTCCAGACTGCCCCGATCTGCCGCCAAACAGCTGATCGGCACAGTGCGGCAGCCATTTAAATTTAAATGAAGCCGCGATTAAAATGATCGCGGCTTCATTTAAATTTAAATGGCTGCCCCGATCTGCCGATCAGCTGTTTGGCGGCAGATCGGGGCAGTCTGGACGCGACGCGCCGACAAAGAAGCCTTTCTTCATCGGCACAGGTAAGCCTCGTGAAACCAGGTTTACCTGTGCCGATGAAGAAAGGCTTCTTTGTCGGCGCGTCGCGTCCAGACTGCCCCGATCTGCCGCCAAACAGCTGATCGGCACAGTGCGGCAGCCATTTAAATTTAAATGAAGCCGCGATTAAAATGATCGCGGCTTCATTTAAATTTAAATGGCTGCCCCGATCTGGCTAATCTACATGCCTCCGTCGAAGGAGGCATGTAGTCTAGACACACTGTAAGAGTGCTCCAACTGCCCTGTGTAAACCCTGCTGCTCCCTCTAAGAGCATTAATTTAATATGAACTTGGCTACATATTACCCAACTTGATTAGATTAGAGGGGAGGCCAGGGGACACCAGAAGAGCAAGCAGGGTGGTATGGGTCAACAAGGTGGTTAGACCACTTTAAAAATCATGCTCCTCTGGTGTACTTTGCTGCACCCTGTAAGCAAGCCTAAAATAAAAATAAAGCAGCTGTCTTATTTTGTTCAGATAAGATCAGCAAACATCACACAGGAAATTTCCTATTAAGTTATCCTGAAGAATACCAGGTTTGAAGATAACTAGATTAGTCAAATTTTGCAGAAAAAAGTCAGACAGACTGACACTATACTTGATTTTAATCAAACATGAAGGACAGTCCCTCTCCACAGAGCTCAGAATCTGAAATAACACGTGAGAAAGATTTATAGTTTGATCAATACTGCTTCTATTGCCGAGATGTCTCTTACCTATACTGCTCCTGCTCATAAAGATCAGCTACAATGGTGAGAAGTCGACTGATGAAGGAGTCACTGTCATTCTCTTTGTTAGATTTGGCAGCCAACAGAGTACATCTCCTCTCTGTATCTGCTAGCTTCTTCTGCAGCTTTACATACTCCTGGCGGAGAAGCAATAGGTGCTTCTCCAACTTGGCCACGTCCTCTGCAAAACAAGACATGCAGTTCAGCTGAAAGACTTGATATCTTTTTCTTGGCAATTGTAGCTCGCTCCCTCCCTCAATTTACTGTTTGTATTTCAGCAAATCTGTTCCCCTTAGTTTGCTCATGAGCGTTCTCTCTAAATATCACTAAACCCTCATTTTTATGACTGGTCAAAAATAAATTTGCAAGCAGGCTGGGACCCTTAGAATGAATACCTACAGTGTTCTACCAACTCAATGGGAATTGGTTCAACATTAATCAGGCAGATCCTCAAGTTTAAAAAAAATAATCTCACAGACAAAGCAAAAGCAGACATGGGGTTTTTGAAAAATAAGTGATGCTCAATGCAGTATTGGGGGTTAATACAGGCTCAGTCTGAACTTCTTCCCTACTGGAAATGGTTCAAACCTTCCCCTATCTCCCACCCCAAAAGCCAGAGATCTAGACCATTCCACTGCAGTCACAAAGATCGCAAAGCCTCAACAGTACCTCTCTTCAGGATCCCATATCACCGAACATGTTCAGATTATTTCTCCCCCCCCCCCCAAAAACAAAACAAAAAACACAACACAACAAAAAACAAAACAAACACAGAAAGTATGCATATATCCTACTTTAAAAAAAAAAAAAAACACTTCTCCAGCATTACCACCACCACCTAATGACCTAGAAACAGAGGGCCAAAAATTTGATCCATGCTTGGCAACCACTATATTTAACTCAGAAGTCCCATCTCCCAGCTAGTGCGAAATGGATTTGAGTCAGATTATGGATGTAAACTCTTCCACAAAGTTTCTAGATAAGGCCATTTTTGCTTTAACATGATTTGTATTTCAAGTCAGTACATGTTTTCAGAATTTAAAAGCATACTATTATGTACCTCCCGTATCTGGATAAACCACTAGCTGAATCATTATAAAGGAGGAAAAAAAAAACACATACCCCCCCAAGACCTAAGCAAAAAAATCCCATATTGGCAGTGGATGAGTTTAGATAAGCCAGGTCTTCTCTAATTATAATTTGAGATGGAGTGAAATGCTATTGCACCAACTAGTTTGCATGGACAAACATGCAGATATTGACACTTGCATACAAATATTTCTAAATCGCTTGAATGGTCCCCCCGATTCTTGCACTGAAGGGAATATTAATTTTAATGAATGACAGAGTCAATCATTAATACACTCATTAAATAACCTGGGCAAACTGTAGGAAGTTTCCTTCTAACACGCTAACTTGGAATTAGGGAGACCATCACTAAAAGATTTGAATCTTCTGTATTCTTATACACGCTTATCTTTTCTGCCTTACCTCTAGCATGTCAGACACAGGCTCACATTACTTTCACATGGCAAGAGAGAATCTAAATGCATACTCTTGTGCTGTACAGTTGGGTAACTAGAGATAAGTGACTTGCCTGAAGTCACAGAGCAACTGTGATGGATAGGGGGAGTGCTGGCCAGCACTTGATGTCTAAAGGATTAAACTCAGATAGCTAAGGGTGTTGGCAGGGAGCCAGAAGAACCAATGAGATTCAGTGCTGAAATTTGAATTATAAAATGTACCTGCTTGTGTGTGTTATAAAATTTACCTCTGTGTGTGAGTTCTAAGTTAGGAGGTGGAGGAAGCAAGATGAAGTAACCAGACAGAATTAACACGCCTACAAGGAATATTGGGCATGGGAATGGACTGGGCCTTGAAGTACGGATCATTACAGATTGATCAAGATATTTGTTTTGTTGTTTAGTTAAATTTCTCTATGTAAAATCCATATGCCTCCCTCCCCACATTCACTATATCTCTGGTGTGTTTAGACTACAGGGTTTTTTTTGAAAAAAGAGGCCTTTTTTTGAAAAAACTTCCCCTGCTGCCACGTTTTCAAAAGTAAATCGAAAGAACGCGGCAGTTTTTTTGACCGTGGAAAACTTCATTTTATGAGGAAGAACGCCTTTCAGAAGTGCTCTTTTGAAAAAAAGGCACTATGTAATGCAAACTGTGCTTTTTCAAAAGAGCATCCAGACTGCCTGGGTGCTCTTTCAAAAAAGCAGCTTGCTTTTTTGAAAGTACTTGTTGTAGTCTAAAGCCGTAGGTTCCCAAACTGGGGGGCATGCCCCCCTGGGGGGTGTGAACAAATTCCAGGGGGCCACAAGGCAACCCAGCCTCACCTCCTCCCCTGCAATCAAGTTTTGCTGCCCTGGTCAGTTCTTTTTTTGCTCAACAAGTTTTGCTTGGGGGAGCGGGGGTGGGCGCTTGAGGGTTTTTTAAAAGTCAAAAGGGGGTGTAACGCCAAAAAGTTTGGGACCCACTAGATGCTTTTCGAAAGAGGCTTGCAGTCCAGATGTAGCCTCTGTGGTTTAATTTGCTCTTTTCTTGTCTGTAACACCTAACAATTAAGTATGCTTTATTAAGTGTAGCTTTGTTAAAAGTTACCTTTAAGGCCATGATTTGTGTGTCATGAAAAGTAACAGGGGGTCTGTGCATGTGCCTGCCTATGACTGAGAGGTCAGCTATTAGAGATTGCAGTTTATTTTGTGTGTTTTTTTTCTTCAAGCTCTTGTGATAAATTAGCTTGGGGTACCCCTCGAGGAGAAGTTCAAATGTTTCTTCATGGTTTTCAGGGTTTTAATTCACTTGACGGTGGCAGCCTCTCCCCCAAAGCCAGTGAATCTGTGATTCTGGGGAGATTTTGTAAAACAGAACCTATAGAGGCAAGGTATTTAAGGTCTCTTGTGGGCCCATTCATTCTGCACTCGGAGTGCCAGAGTGGGGAAACAGCATGACACTTACAACCAACCTCCCATTAAGCACATTACAGCCAGTCCCCGAGTTACAAATGCACGATCCTACGCTTACAAACAGCGCAGTCACATTTAAATGGAGTCCGACTTACAAACAGATCGAGTTATAACCAAGTGTCAGTATGTAACTCGTTCGTAAGTCGGGGACTATCTGTACAGGAAACGCCCGCCTTACAATGGCCTGAATTGTGACCCCACAAACTTACAAAAATAGTCGTAAGTGTGGAAGGGGCCAAAAACCCCTGACTTGTGTCCTTGGCCCACATTTACGATAGCACACGGTGTCTATCATAAATGGAGGTTTGTGTTAGGATGCCCCCGATTTGCAACGCTTCCTCAGGATCCGGTCCCATCACAAGTTGGAGGCTACCTGCACAAGATGGTTTGCTCTACCTGAATTTGATTTTAACAGGAAGGGCAGATAATCAGTTACAGCTGTACTTTCTAGGGTTGCCAGGTGTCCGGTTTTGAACCGGACAGTCTAGTATTTGAGCTTTCTGTTCGGGAAACAAATTAAGAAAATATAAATATCCAGTATTTTCTAAAGATGTAATGTAGATTGTGATGTAATGTCAAGTGTGTCCGGTATTTTTGTTGAAACTATCTGGCAACCCTAGTACTTTCTAGAAAGCACATCATGAGCTACTGCTAGAAAAGTCTTCAATTTCCATTGCTGTTACTAGGGATGTGAATGGTTAACCAGTTATGATTAATGTGATATTTACTGGTTATGGTTAACTGGTGGGGACTGGAACCCCACCTGCCCCCTTTAATCAGTTAAGCATAATGTTTAACTGGTCAACCAAACAGGATTTTACATCTCTTCCTGTCACTCTGCAGTCAGTGCCTATCAGCGCCTATCAGCTGCATCTGAGAATGTACAGCCCATAACATTTGCCTTAGCAAGGATGTACACTTAGTTTTAAAAGTTGATTTTGTGCAATGCCAATGCACAATTAAGCCATCACCCACAGATGGCCACTGCAGTTTGTGGGCACAGCCAGGACGAGGGGCGCAGGTCCGCTCACTGGAGCGGGTCCAGGGTCATCTGCACTTTCTGCTTGTCCTATGACAAAGGAACAGCCAGCGGTGTTCCATACTAAGGAGAGAGAGCTTCAGCCCCCTCCCACCCTCATTAAAGGGGACCTGGGTCGTGGGAAGCTCATGGCTGAGGCTAGGGTTGACAGAAGACCCATTCCATCAGTAGCAGCACCAAATTAGAAAACTTGCTACTGTCACTGTTGTCCATATTCTAACTAAAATCCTAAAATACTGGCTCGAGTCTTCCTAGTCTCCCTTCAATTTAGCAAGCCTCTCTACCATGGGCTTACCCACTGGTTAGGCATTCTCACATCCACAAATGTTTGTTGGTATAAAACTGAAACTTTAAATTATTGTAAACTAACAGTTTAATTCTATCCCTGGTGAGTGAGGAGATCTAATCATGCCTTGACAAGCCACTATTATTGCTCATTGTTTGCTACAAGTTAACCAGGAAGGTCTCCACAGAAAAAGCCAGGCATTGGCTTATTTTGCATGCACGGGTCTGTGCACCCTGCATGTTTGTAGAAGTCAGTTATTACATTCACACACATTAACCTTATGAGTTGTACAGCATACTATGCAGCTACAGTTATTATGAAAACGAAGCCCTTATTGTCTAGCCATCATTGATGATGGTAAGTCCAGAAACAGTTATATAAACTTCACTAGTTTGTCACAAAAAGTGCTACTTACATCTAGTGAGGCTGTTGGCCAATTTCCAGCATAGTTATTTCACTAATAATTTCTCAAAAAGCAGACAGTAGCTTTCAACGTTTACCAGTGTCAATTCTACCCAAGAATCTCATTATAACTATACATTAGTGTGAAGATTCTCTTCCACAGGATTTCCAATACAATTGTGGAACACATTTATAATTTATGTTTAGTACCCTTCTGCAGAAATAAGACAGCGACAATAAGAAAGCAAGAAAAGTACTATACATTTAAGAACCTATGGAAAAAACATCAACTAGGATTATGTTAGCAATTTAATAGTAATGTTGATACTGTGTGAATTTCCAGATTTTTTAAATGTAACAAAGGACACTATAATTGTCTCCCCAAGTGTGCTCAGTCAGTGCTTGGATACTGAAAATGTAAGTGAATTTCACTTTCAAATTCTGAAGGATTCAATGTTCAGGCTGTAGACATGACAGGAAAAGACTGTTTAAAAAGCTCTCACCTGGAAT